GTTCCTCCTGAGAGAAGAGCCAGCCTGGGTTGGGCAAGCCCCCCACCCCACGGTTCCTCCTGAGAGAAGATCCAGCCTGGGTGACCTTGGGCAATCTGCACAGTCCCAAGATGCCCCCCCAGAAGAAGGGAACGGCAAATCACTTATGAGTATTCTCTACCTGGGCAGCCCTGAAAAGGGTCACCCTAAATCAGCACTATGAGTACTGTATTCTCTACCTGGGCAACCCTGAAAAGGGTCACCCTAAATCAGCACTGACTTGACGGCAGATGGTTGTTATTAAAAAGGACTAGAGGAAAAGAGTTAAGTGGCTCTCTCCTCTTGTGCCATTCCTCCCTTCAGATCTGCAGCTGTCTCAGCTGCTTTGGATCAAAAACAAAGACAAGAGAGGGGAAAGAACCCCGGGACCCGGCAGAACGTGTAGTTTGAGCGTAGGCTTACCAGCCATCAAGCAGAGGGAGGAATCGAGTGGCTGTGTAAGGCAGGTCTGACCTTATTCCTTGGCGCTCTCTCAGTAAGAGCGCTTTCCTACGTCTTGATGGAATCGTCTTGAAAAGACGGCAAGGAAAGGCTGTCAACGCTCCTAATCATTACATGTATTACTAATCATTACTTTGAAAAGTTTCATGGCTCTTCTGGAGGGGGGAGGAAGTGTTGACATTTCTGGCAAACAGACCCCCACGAAAGGGGCTAATCGTGCATTCCAAAACATGGGTTTAATTCCCCCCCTCCCCCCAATGCCACCAGAACGTCTCATCCACTTCTTCACGGAGAAAAAAAAAGGAAAAGGGAGTGGGAGGGAAACGAAGAGCTTTCCTTACAGAGGTTCGTACATTCTTTCTCTGCAGACTGTAATGCGAGCTTCCGGTTGTCAACACCGCGTCACTCCTGGTACTGTTCTTTTAACAAGTACAGGTATGAACAGTAACTTCTCTTGACAACTGACTCTGAGGCATGCGAGCAGAGATCGGCGGGACCTCGACAGAGTGTAATCCGCACGAGGAGACGGGCTGAGCTGAAGTTGCGCCTTTGAAGTTCGGCAGACACCTCTATTTGCAGGGAAGATTCCAAGAACATGAGAACATGAGCATCAAGGCGCAGCATCGCCAGGAGCAGAATTTCTTTTTTTGTTTCATTCTTGCAAAACAAACCATACTTGAAAGCAGGGAAAAGACCACTGCACTCGTACTGTTGGAGGACACTTAAAGCACACCCCTTCCTCACATTGGGACAGGGACTGGCAAACACCAGCTGTATCCTTTTCCCCGTCCATAAAGGCAGCCTTTGTTTTCCATTCCAAAAGAGAAATCCACCGGTTGTTGTCTAAGTATTTGACTGAGTTCTGCGCCGCCCGTCCACTGAGACTCAGCTTCATAGGTTTTTAATGCTTCTGTCCTATACCTTCCCGGTCAGACTTCAGAGAAAGCCCTCTAGATTTCTTTATCGTATTTATTATTCCTCTGTATCATACATATTATTCTCATCTTCCACTATAAATACAGCCTACCAAGAATACTGACAAGCCTGTTTTTACCAGAATGATTTGTTAATATTGGAAAAATCTACAGTGTGGGTAAGAAAGGAACATAAATGCTCCAGGAAAACACAAACATTGCATGCATATCCATAATATTAATTTTGCAACCAAAAAAAGAGAGAGAAGCACATACAGGAAGATAGAGCCTTGTGAAATTTTTGTTTGCAGGGTTCAGTCATCTTTATAGGTGTAGCATCGAGGTTAGATTCAGTTTCTTTCCCCATTGAAGTGCCATCAGTCTTCTCTTTTTTATGAGAACCATCCTGCCCCCCCCCCCGCCGCCGCCGGCTCGCCTGCGTTGCCTTCCTGTTCCTTTTCTGAGCCAGATTCAAGGTTTTGATACTAATGTACAAAGCCCTTAATGGTTTGGGGCCTTGTTACCCGTCAGAGCATCTTCCCCCAAAGAACTTCTGTTCGTTCCACTCGGTCCTCCCAGGCCTCACTCTTATGGGTGGCCAGGATGAGAGAGGCGAATGAGGTCTCCACCAGGAGTTTAGCCTTGAGTTGTTGTTTTTTTAAAATATATATGCCATCAAGGCGTCTCCAATGAATGCTGACCCTGAGAATAAGTAACCTGCAAAATGTCATCTCGAGATCATCCCTGCTCAGCTCTTGTAAACTTAAAAGCTGTGGCTCCCTTTATGGAGTCATTCCATCTCCTAGCTGGTCTTCCACTTCTCCTCCCACCTTCCGGCTTTTCCAACAAGTCTTCTCTTGATGTGCCCAGAGTAGGACACATCACTTCATCATTTGTGCCTCTAAAGCAGCAATTCCCAGCCTTGGCTCCCCAGATGTTCTTGGACTAAAACTCCCAGGGGGCGTCACCACTCACTGTGCTGGACAGGATTTCTGGGAGTTGTAGTCCGAGAACATCTGGGGACCTAAAGTTGGGAAGCACTGCTCTAGAGTGCAGAGGCTTTATTTGATTTAGGATCCATTTGTTCATTTTTGCCCATAGAACAAGGAGGACCTGTAACCATGTGGGGTGCTCCTTAATAGAAATCTGCATTTTAAGGGACCAAAAGCCAGACTCTCTTCCAGGATGCTCTAAATTGTTTCAAACGGGCCAATTCCACCCCCTCATCTTCTGTTGCTTGTGTTCCCAATGATTTACATGCTGTGGCTTACAGATCTACTGAGCAAGTTCCTCATTTGACTTTTGAGAATTTTTTAAAAAGAAATTACAAATAGAAACATAAATTATATTTATAATCTATTCTGAAAAAATACCTGAGAAACTACCTTATTTATGGTCACCTCATTTCTCTTTTAAACGTAACTTCTTGATTGTGATCCTTTATTAGTGGGTATCCCAAAATAAACAATCCATTTCTTGTTTGGCATCCATAACTTTTGGTGAACTACTCACAATGATTATTGATTTTATATCTACTTACTCAAGTACAGTGGTGCCTCGCTTAGCGACAACCATAACTTTTGGTGAACTACTCACAATGATTATTGATTTCATATCTACTTACTCAAGTATTACTTATTTAAGGAGTAAGTGACTTGGCCCACTCAGGCTGATGGGAGTTCATCATCTTGATGGCCCAGGTTGTCCAACCTAACTTATTTCAATCTAATCCAATTCAACAATAACAAATGGAACGTTGGCATTTAATGCAGCCATTAGCAAATTCAGCTATGTATGCAAATTTGGCTACATAAAAAAGACAAAGAAAACATACCTCAAATAAGCCACAGGTCTCCCAAATCAACTGCTTAGAGGTTGTAGTAGGCAGATAACATAGTTTACTTGATTAAATTATAGCCAGCTACAACAGGATTCAACAAGTCAGATATTAAACCAGAATTTTATTGTTAACACTGCAAATTTTTGCTCCATGCACATAAGCATCTCTTTAATTAAAAAAATAGCTTAGAGCTATAATTTTATTATACATGAAGAAAACCATGTAACCTAGAACTGTTACTAAGTGTGAGTAAACTGTCTGAACCAGTGTTCTTGCCCTTAGGAAAAATGAAACATTAGTGCCATCAAGAGGCAACAGACAGATTGCAGGAGTCCAGAAAATGGAGGTTGTAATTAGGTAGTCTTGGATATTGGTTTTAATTCATAAAGCAGAATATTTGGGATTTTGAAATCCCAATATACCCAATTATCCCACCAAACAAATGTGAGGTGGCATGCATTCTGAGCCTTGCACTTCATAGTCTTGGCTCTGTATGCCCTTTCCTTCTCTCTTTGCTATGCTTCTGACCCACAATTGCTGCTAATATCAGTCACCAATGACTTACATTCTACATTTGCATAAATAAGCAGTTTCACGACAGTACTACATTGCTTTAGACGGCATTATGTCCTTTCTTGGCTTTTCTTTGCAGATCAGCACCTTTTCCGAAGCGCATGAGGCAGGGAAAGGCACTTCAGGGTCCAAGCTTTCTGCATGACTGCAGAAGAGAAACCCCTTTGAAAGAGCTTTCCTTCCTTCAGAATTTCACAACATACTTCTTTCATACTGTATGAACCGAATGTTAAGGCAAGCGCCTGGTCCTTCAGTGGTGCCCATCTTCCTCACAACATTACAGGCTATTTCCAATGCTATTATTTGTGGGTACAGTTGGGTTCAGTGAGGGTTGGGTTTTGCCTCAATGGCAGAAAAAAATGAGTCTAAGGCTGAACCCTCCTTCTAGTCTTCCATTCCATCACATTCAAACCAGGGCTGCAGCTATTTATTTCTTAGTAATACGGTAAAAGCCTGCAACACCATTGGCTCCCGAGTAGAGATGGGGGTATTCGTATACGACTATCCCTGCACAGGTGGAGTTAACGAGGGTCCAGCTCCATGGGGCCGGATGGGCCACTCACCGATCTGCCGCGGATGGTGCAGTTCTACGAATGGCTCCGCAGTGTGCGATCCGCTCACCACTCCTGGCAGGAGGCAAGAGGACAAGCATCGCTACAAGGTCGAAGAGTGGTGAGCGGATTGCACACTGTGGAGCCATTGATAGAATTGCGCCATCCATGTCCGCGGCAGATCGGTGAGTGGACCACCTGGCCCCATACTCGTTAATGCCACCTTTGCAGGGATATTCATATATGAATACCCCCATCTCTATTCCCGAGGAAAGGTTTACATAATCACTTGGAAGATCTCATTATGACTTCTGGTTAGATCTTGGGACAGGTTAACATGAGGGAACTAACCAGAACACATTCTAGACTGCAGCATTATCAATTCCCCACGGAATATCTGATGCATTTTGTTCTTACATATCTATGATCTTGCTTGAGAACCAGTGTGCTATAGTGGGTAGACTGTCACACAAGAACTCAGGAGACCTAGGTTCAAATCTCTGCTCAGCCATGGAAACTCCCTGGGGGCACAAGGGGTTAAAAACCATGTTAAATATCTCATATACCTTGAAGACCACCCTATTAAGGTGCAATTTGACAGCACATAACAACACATGAATGATGTTGCTTTATAACTTTGCCTGATTTTCAATAAATTTCTTTATTCCAGATGGTGGACTGAGTGGACCCGTTAGACAGATCTAGATGCTGGTCTGGGAGAATCTGGTCGAAAATCCATTTCTGCCTGAAACAGATACTGAACATAAGCCATTCATTCTCTCATAGGCTTAGTTCTTGAACTGCCAAAGAGCTGTGTGTGCTACAGACCAACAGTAATACTGCATATCTATCAGATGCTGTCCATCTGTCTAGGTAGCTGGAAAAAAAAACAGCACTCAAGTACTATTTTTAGCAGTACGATTTTATTCAACCAGTACTAATAACTAATTTGCTGAAGTTTACACTTTTCAAAAACTGCTCAACATGCAGGATTGGTGTACTACAGTCATACTGTTCCAAGTTACAACAGGAATTTTAGCATTTTAGGAAGAAATGTAACATCACATTCTCACCTGAGAAACAAATCAAAATGTTCTAAACAGCTGATTAGGAAGATAGCCAAGATGCAAGAAAGATGTCTGAGCCTCCTTTTCAAGGGCAGCCAATTCTTGTACTGTAGGGGCCAAAATATCCACATGGCCTTTATAAGACCCACCTGCCAAAAGAATCAGAATTAGATTAGAATGATGCTTGTCCTTATGGCCAGGCAACAATCTCCCAGAGTACTGACTATCTTCAGCAAAGGGGCACAGCCTGTGGCTACCTGCATCCCCCTGTCCTTGTGTGGCACCCACAATTGTCGTCACTTTTAAAAATCTGCCCCTTGGCCTTCCAGACTAGTGCTGTACAGACAGTAGAAGCAACCACCTCTGGAAAATGAGTGAAGCTTTAACCATCCCTCTACAGGATATGTAGATCTCAGGGGGCAGAGAGGAGATATTTAACCTTTACATCCCTACACACGAAGTTGCATCTATATAACTCTGTGGCCTCCAGCTGACACTTAGGCTGAACAAATTCTGCACCCCGATCTTAAAATACTTTAGATTTTAATGCTTTTGAAATAGCAAATGTCTGTAATGTATCATAATTAGAAAATGATGGGAACACTACAATTCCAGGCAAGCGATTCTTCACAACCGAAGTACATTTGGAGCATTTCTTGAACTGGGTCAAGTCAATCAGAAAGCCTGATTCAAAATGCAGCTAGACTGTTCTTCAGTGTTTCCCCCACTCACCACCAGCAGTCCTTTTCTGCCCGTAGGTGACTTTGCCGTCGAAATCATCCACTGGGACCTTGACGTCTGGCTCAACTTGGGAAATGGTACAATTCAGATGCTCTTCTATCTCACCAAGCAGCTAAGAGAACACACATGACAAGAAATGTTGCTATAAGATGGTTGTTGGTTCTCCATGACAGTCAGCGCACCTTGGAGGTAAATGAATGACCAAATCTAAGGTAGTATGTGGTTCTAACACTCCTTACATCTACATAATCCCACAAAGAAATGTAAGCATGCTATTTAATTGATGCCAAGCACGATCCTCTCAAGAATGTAAACTAAGATGAAATCAACTGGGACTTAAAACTGTGACTGCATCACCCTAGTCTTTCTGCTCCAAATAAAAATTGCAAGAGGCACTGTACAAACAAAAAATCTTGTATCATCTACCACATAACCACTGTATGCAGTGCCAAAGACTTCTAGACCTCTCTCTCTCACACACACACACCTCAAATCCAAACAACCCAACCAACCAGGAAACAGCTCAACTAAAACTGAGGGGAAGCAGATCATGTGTCTTGCAATTTGCTACAATTTCAAAGACTATCAGTTGCTTTAACATTGTGGGCAGTGAAACAGTTAATATTATTAACTGAAAAAAAAATTAAGTTTGCATTTTAATACATGTCAGATGTGTAGCACTAAAAACAGTCCAGTCTAAGCAACATATACAATACAGTGGTGCCCCGCTTGTAGTTAATATTAACTGAAAAAAAATTAAGTCTGCATTTTAATACATGTCAGATGTGTAAGCACTAAAAACAGTCCAGTCTAAGCAACATATACGATACAGTGGTGCCCCGCTTGATGATGATCCCACTTCACAACGAAATCGCTTAACGATGAGTTTTTTGCGATCTCTATAGCGATTGCAAAACGATGTTCCTATGGGTTTTTTGCTTAATGAAGACTAGTTCCCTGCTTCAGGAACCATTTTTTGAAGACTAGTTCCCTGCTTCAGCAACCGTTTTTTTCGCTGCACGACGATTAGAAACTGCTGATCGTCAGTTTTTCAAAATGGCTCCCCGCTGTTTTCCGGACCTATTTCTGGAAGACAGCGATCAAAAATGGCTTCCCCTATGGAGGATCTTCGCAAAACGAGCAGGCATTTCCCCCATTGGAACACATTAACCGGTTTTTAATGCATTCCAATGGGTTTTTTACTTTTGCATGACGACGATTTTGCTTTACAGCGATTTTGCTGGAACGGATTATCGTCATCATGCGGGGCACCACTGTATTCGAAAAAGTTGAGGGTAGCAGGAAAAGAGGAAGACTTAATACAAGATAGACTGACTCAAAACGTAAGAACTGGCCCTTAATTTAAAAAGGGCAAGTAATGCTAGGAGCTTCCGGAAGTCATCAATTCATACATTTAGCATAAGTTGGAAGCAGTTTGGTAGCATGTAACAACAAATTAAATGCTTAATGGCAGGATGGCCATCTTCTGTAGTGTTGAGGGTCCCCTGAGTCTTTACACTATGGCAGGCAAATAGTTCTATAATAAAATCAACACCTTCCAGCAGCAGGACTTTCATAGCTGTGGAGCACTTCTGTACAGACACTATACACCAATATGTATGCTTCAATGTGACATCTCTTTTGACTTTTGTACATACTAAGTAATGCGGACTTCCTATTTCTGACATCTTAAAAAATGTTCATTGGCCACCACAGCCCACATAAATAGCTTCTGCCTATTTATGAGGGCCTTGGGCAGCAGAACTGCTTGAAATATTGTTTATGTAAGATATTCCCCCAAAAGTGAAGCGGGGAGAGACTGTTTAGTTTTCTAAAGCAAAAGTTGCGGTTGAAACTGTACTCTTTGAAGAAAGAAAATTGGAAAGAAAATTCCATGCATAGATTCATGTCTTATCTCACCCTAAAGATGGGCATATTAGATGCACCCTCCTTGTAGCTTAACTTAAGGAAGAAAAGATTTACCAGTTGAATACAAGAACTCCTTCCCTCAAGCAGGGGGGGGGGTCACTGGCCTGGACTAGTGAATTTGATGTAACAGTGCCTGGCACTGCACTACAAATGTGCTATTTATAGATCCTGACACTGCTGAAGTCTGTGCATCCTTTCACCTCTTTCACATTGCGAATGAGAGGCTCTACGGGGAACCAGGGGGCCAGCGTGATTGTAGTGTAGTGCTTGGGGTAGGGTGGGGTGGGGAGGAAGAGTTGATGAATAAGACGGGTACACCGATACAGTAAGAGGCTGGGGAGGACAAAGCGGCTGAAGAGCAGCTTTGAAGAGCTGTGGAGCAGGCAAGACCAAAACCAAGTGGCATTTCCTTCAACCAAGGCTAACCCTGCAATGACTGACAGTGTCTTCCCACTCATGACAAAAAAAGGAACTCATTTCAGAAGAACTTTCACCGTGAAGGAAGAAGACAACCTCCCCTTGTGGATTGTAAAAGATGGTGACTGAAAAATTTAACACCTGCTTTGAACTCTTCAGGCCTTGTTTTTGAATGAAACACAGCTACCAAAAATATAAGAGGACTTAACAGCAGTAGTTCAAAATAGAAAAAGAAAAAAATTACCTGCATCTCATTGTACCAAATGGTGCACCCCCCTTCATCCTTCAGCCTAGTGTTATAACATCCTTTTCCACGACTGGGACACGAATGATACCAAACCTAGGTAAGAAATTTTACCAACGTATTAGGAGAAACACCCAACAAATGTCAAAGTATTAACATTTTTTAAAAATGTAATAAAATCATTACTCTCTGACAATGTTGCTCTGTATAGCTTCTTAAGTGCCTTGACAACAACTTTAGTACATACACCCTCCTCCCCCAACACTTTAAATACCTTATGGACCTTTCATATTATTGTACATGCCACTAGGAGTACCACTGGATCTCAAAAACGATACACATATATTCATAAATGAAAACATCCCCACACAAGGTAATTTCCTAAAGTCAATTATCACATAAACAAGTTTTTATTCATCTTCCACGGAAGCACAACTTACCTTTTCTTTCTCTGTTGCCACAAGGGAAATAGCCAGACCCATGCTGAAACATACACATGTCTTACAGTTAATACTTTAAATGTAGCAATGCCTGTAAGTGCGTCACATGTGATAGTATGAAAATGGAAGGAGTTCTATACTGTTTTTATCCACCGGCTTTTAATTTGATATCTGTTTAATTAATATTGCAAAAATATCTTGTTCTTAGTTTTTCAAATTGTTAGTTTTCATAGTGTAAACTGCCGTGGGTCCCCCTTTGAGGGGAAAGGTGAGATATAAATATTTCAAGCCAACTGAGATGTTCAAAGCAAATAGACTCTCTATCCACCAGGACAAAGAAGAAAGCTTACCATCCTATATGGCTAGGTTCTCCCTAAGTGACACTGAATAGCCAATTTGGAGCAATCTTAACACATACAGCAAAAACAACTGCAAAAACAACAATAACAACAACAAAACCCATATATACCGTTCAGCTCTTCCCACTCTGCCAATCCGATGAACATAGTTCTGTTTTTCATCCGGAAGTGTGACATTGATAACTGTTTATAAATGGTAAAAAAGAAATAAAACACGGCATTGTTGAAAAAAATAAGTGCTACAGAAAGTATGACTTCTTTTGCAGGAAACGTTAGGTTATATAAAACTGTTTTACTGGATATGGGAAGAGCTGTTTTCGGTAGCTGTAATATTAGGGCACTGGACTGGATCCCACCAATTATTATGTTCTTGTTTTATCCCTTGCACTTTGCCACCACTTGTCCTACTGGTTTTAGCGCTGATGCCCCACCAGCTAGCCTTCTGGGACTCACTCCCCCAGGCAGCATTGCAACGGGTTTCCAGGACACTGCGGCATTTCCACCATGGAAAGGGTGCAGGTGGGGGAGCTTGTGGCCATAGCAAAAATACCATAAGAATGTGTGTATGCGGGGCGGGATTTTCCCCAGCCACACTTAAAGCCCCTGAGAATGGAACTGGTACTTTATCCATTGAAACTCTATGCTCTTCCACAGTATTGCCTTCCTGCCAAGTTATGTTCTAATGGGAAAGACTTAGCATGTGCTTAGCTCTGCCACAGAAACCTACAGGGAAGGGCTTAGTCCTATCCTTTTTTTCGATAAAGAAAATATAGATTTTAAAGATGCAGTTTCAAAGGCTTTTAGTCTTAAAAGAGTTTTCTACGAGCAACAGATCTTACCATAAGGAACACCGCTGATATCAATTCCTCTAGCAGCTACATCAGTGCAGATCAAGAATCTCACGTCACCTTTCTAAACAGAGGAATGCATTAAATATACGTGCATTTTAATTTCATTTCTACACAGCCATTCAATCGGAAATGCAAAGCATCATCCATCATTTGCATTCAGAAGACGGCCATCAGACTGCACAGCAGTTTGTGGCCAAAATCTAGAGGCATGGTTTTTTGTGCAGTCCTAGTGAGTGATGCGTATTTCGTGAGAGCATGATTCCTGCCATTAGAGTCTTGTGTGAAGCCTCTGCTGGATCCAGTCTACAGACTTTGTTGGACTGGCACATTCTAACTCTACACTGGGGTGAACAACTTTGGAGAATTGGCAGGCCAATTTTCCACCCCTACTCCCACCACCAGTCACACCTGTCTAAAAAAGAAAAATGGGAAGTGGGTGGGAGTCCACGTTTCGTAAAAATGCTATCCTGGGGCCAAAACAAGAAGCCTCCAGAGAATCACTGCTTCCTGGTTACTTTTGCCTTTTTGAAAAAACTCCCCACCACAGGCAGTGAATAACATTTGGGTGACCCCTTGTCTAGAACAGTGGTTCTTAACCTTTGTTATTCAGATGTTTTTGAANCAACATTTGGATGACCCCTTGTCTAGAAAATGAGAGAGGCAAGAAAATAAAGGCATTGAATCTTGGGCAACACATACAAATACTAGCTGAATAATTTGCTTTTCTCCTTATGAAACTGAAAGGAATTTCACATTGGAAACTCTTCAATTTGGATGCTATTTTTGAAAGACTGGAGGAAATGCCAGGTAAGTTACAATAAAAAGACCAAAATCAACTACTGTTCCAGTTTAGAGGGAATGGAATATCACTAAATTATCTTTTCTTTTCCTCTGCTGACAAGCACAGCATGGCCTATCAGCCCAACCAACAGAATACTCAACACTCTCCTGTTAAATAAATAGAATCTTCTTCGGCTCATCTAGTCTGGTTCACTGTCCTGATATTACCTTAAAGCGCTCCAAATTCTGTTTTCTCTCATGAGGCTTTCTGTCACCATGAAGACACACGCACGAGAACTGATGTCCTTTCCTATCTGGACCTTAAGAACAGAAGTGGAAGTACATTAAGAGCTCAGCACACGGCTACCAAGTTCTCAAGTCTAGGATTCTCATTATGAACAGCCAGGAAATGTTAATGGTAATGTGACAACACTGATGATTTGCAATGAAGAAAAAGGTGCTGGGGGGGGGCGGGGCTCTAAATTCCCAGTATCCCCTTTACTGCCACAGAGGTTTATGGGGGGGTGACGGGGGGGGGAAATAATATTGACACAATGAGATTATAAATAGCTTCTGGGCAGGTCAATTTCAGTAAGGGAAAAATGATTTTCTGAATGTAGAATATTGCTGAGAGGGAGCTCTACATCTCCCTCCTTTCTGGCAGGGCAGAGATTGTATTGCAAATATCAACTTGAGCACTTTGAAAAAAAGAATAATCTGTACACTGCTGAAGCAGCAGGAAATCCCAAATGGGAAAAGATCCAAGGTGAAAAACAACCGCCTGAGACTCATCAATCAAAATGGGAAAAAAAGAAGAGCAAACTGGTATTGCTTGGCAAATGAATAGAGCGGCGCCTAACAGGCATGAAATTGCTACCTCCGCCTTGCTGCATGAAGTATTGCTCCATGTTATCACAATCTATCTTGGTCCTGCAGAAGATTATTGCTTGATCCATTTTGTGTTCCTTGATTGCACGAACAGCGTATTCTCCTTTTAAGATCTTAATAGCTTCCGACCACATCTCTAAAGAACAAGACGCATAATTCTTACAGTGTGCATTAAAGCGGATACATCAAAAAAGAACAACAGTTTCTTTTGACAGGTCATAACATGTACTTTTATGTACAATTATTATTCTTCCAGAATAATACCCACATGAGTTTAATTGTTTAGCTTTCAGCTTCCAGAACTATGAAAAAATGCTAGCTAAAGAACATTAGAAAACTTTCTGCTTGGGTAAGTTTTTACGGTGTAGGAAAAAAAGGACTTTTTTGCTTTAATTATCAATGAAAAAAAAAGTAGCTCCAATAATATTTTAGTCTCTTTGGAAGCCGATTAAAAAGATTTTGCTGCTTTGCATAACCCTCTCCTCTGCTATGCTTTGAACAAAAATGTTTGGCCTATTATATTATTTACATTATATTAACTAAAATATTACTTACCTGGAGAATTAGCACCAGGCCTTGTATTGTCTTTTGCATGCACCTCATCAGTCTGCAAAGTTCAATGGTGAGCATTATCAATAGTGATCAAATTCATACACACAGTAAGAGAAACAAAAGAATGAAGTAAATCAGGAGAAACAGGAAACAATACACTACATTATAAGATTTCCAGTTTCCAAACTTTATTTCAAACTGAAAACTGCATAAAATGTTCTCTGCATTCCCAATTAGGATTTCTGAAGTGCCCCTCATTTTCTTCCTTCCTTCAAAACACTGCACCACAGCTTAAATATCAGCACCTGCCTGCCTTGGACCTTTCCTTGTACTTTAAGAGTCCAGATAACCACTTTTGCATGTCCAGTGAAAACAGTTACAGTCCATAAAAGTTAATGGTTCATGCTATAATAGCTGAAATAAATAGTATAGTAAGTCACGAGCAGAGTAGGCTCACTGAACTTATGAAGGAGTTGATTCGCCGAACCACCTCTAATTCAGTGGGCCTGCTCTGCAGCAACTTGTTTTGTTAGGCAACAGGATTTCAGCCAATAAATTCCGTTCTTAAGTATTTAAAAATGTTTTATAATATGTACTACTTACTTTGATGTGATTTTTCCCAAGCCTTTCCCAAAGTTTATCAGTTTTGGGATTTACAGGAACAACAACATGATGGACCGTGTCTGGAACGGAATCTTCTCCTTTCAAATCTACCCAAGTGGGGAAGTGCATAATCTTTTCGGATAATTTCTTCACATCAAATGAATGCAGAGTTGCGGAACACACAATCACCTAAGAATGCACAGAAGTACGAGCCTGAATAATACTGCCATTTCCATAAACTGCCCCAGAGAATCCCCTCTGTAGATAAAGAACGCATACATGAGGGGAAGTCTCTTTTAGCCCAGAGGTGTTTTGGTTACACCTTGTTCGGAGAGCAGTTATTCAGCCATTTCCAGTTGCTGAACTAGCATCACTGAATGGAAAAGTGAAGCCACGTTTCTACACTGAAGAAACGTGGTGAAGACCAGGAGCTAATTTAGATCCTTTGCAGAGCAGACTCCCAACAGCTGGTATGACTGGCAACGTGAGACTAAGATAGGGTGAAGGTGCGAATAGAAAGTTTTGGGACCAAAAATCTCTCCCTGGGAGAGGGAATTTCAAAAAGTGTGCTGAGGTTGGAGCAACTACATCTTTGCTGGATTCAACTCTCTCTGTTTTCCCAGTCAGATCTCTTGTCCCTGCTAGTTCCTCTGGGCCAGGTACTCACCATCCCATGGAGGGAAGGGGGATGAGTAAGGTAATCCCATTCACCGCCTGTTTGAAACTGAATTGTTTTAGAAGGGGCAAAGATCTGCCCCTTCATCCCCACCCTTGCCCCCTCTGCTCTGTTTGTCTGCAATAAAACTAAACCACAATGCTGGGACATTGGTTGCTTTTATTCTACTGAATATAGATACATTATGCAGTTGGGGGAAAAAACTCATTATTTAACATTACATGTTTACAACTTCATAAGATGGGCACAAACCCTCAAACCAGTGGCTCATGCCGGTTCATCCTTCAGTTGGAACAGGTGTTCAGCACTTTCCAGCCTCGCCTCCTCTGGCGGGTGGCCATTCAGAGACAGCACCCAGAGGAGGCAGGGCAGAGAAGCCAGGAACACCTGTTTGGCCGAAGGACGAACCAGCAAGAACTGCCACTTTGGTGGGTTGTGCCCATCAGCGCCTGCCAGAGAAGTCAGGACTTAGAAGTGATGAACACCTGTTTGGCCGAAGGACGAATCAGCATGAACTGCCACTTTGGTGGGTTGTGCCCATCTCTACACATGCATGAAGACTGAAGGAGTGTGAGTGTGGAGACAGAAAATCGTAACTACCATCCAACTGCCTATTCAATGCTTGCATAAGGAAAATCATGCACTGTAGATCTTGGTGGCAGACTGCTGCTGCTCATTACTGAGGTACTATTTGTTTTTCTAGATGTGTCGCCGTTCCATTCACATTGCTTCTACTTCCATGAGGGATAGATATACCGAGGGCGACTGCCAAACAGTGGATGCCTGTGGATAACTACAATTTGGGAAGGTATCTGGATCTATTTAGCTTTCGGAAACCATCTCTTTTTTTGAACCCCCGCCCCTGGAAACACACCACCTAAGCTGTCAGAAATTAATAGCACACTTTTACATTTCATAAAGGCTAGCAAAGTGTTGCATACAGTTTTTGAAGTTCACCAGAAAGGGAAGGCATAAATCATCAATATCTGTTAGTTACAGTGCCTATAGTTCAAGTGATAAGTTTGATCTATATTAAGCCAATGTCATACCTGCAGCCTCTTTCCATCAGACGTTATTTGAGGAATCTGAGAATGAATTCTATGAATGAAATCTGAATAACCTTGGCTAAGGAGGCCATCCTGTACAAGAAGCAGAAGCATCACACAATTATGTTAGTCACTGTACCCCTACCGCCTAAAATTTAGATACAAGTATGAAGGGTTGCCAGTTGTGCTAACAATCTTCTCTGTAACTCAGGAGCGCCTTCTGCGTGTCAGAGGCTACAATGTCATGATAGCAAAAATAACCAACCTCCTCTATTCTTTAATGCACTTATTTCTAAATAAATGTGCGCAGTGAGGACATGCCTCGCTTGATAGATCCATGCTAGGGGACACTGCCAGGCGCATGACTCTGCTAATCACAAAGGCTGCCTTGTATCCATTTCTGTCGAATTGAGTTAAAAGGGTTCTTTAAAGCCCTCAACCCTTTGTTCAGGTGGTATACACTGTGAAGAATTCTGATGCATGAAAGCAAGGAAGGGAAGAAAGAGAAGTCACTCTGCGAATTACTGTAATTTCCTTTACCATTCCCTATTCCCACTGGTGGGGGCACAGAATGCCAGTGCTAGCCATATGCGCCAGGCCTGCTCCCTCCTAGCATTGAGAATGTTACAGTGGTGCCTCACACGACGATTGCCTTGTGGGACTATGGGACTATTAATCCGCAAGACCATGGGTTTTTGTAATTGCTGTGGCACTTTGCAAGACAAAGTTTTCTATGGAGGATTTTCATAAGATGATGTTTTGGTCTATGCTTTGCAAGACAGTTTTTTTTAAGACCAGTGCTTCGCAAGATAATTCCCCCCCATTGGAATACATTAATTACATAAGACCTACTTTTTTGGGATAAAAAAATAGGCCTTATGTAACTAATGTGTTCCAATAGGGGGAAAAACCATCTTGCAAAACATCACCAATGGAACTATAGCTACAAGTTTAAATGATATAAGATGGTGAAAATAGCCAGAAACCAAAGGATAAAGAGATTCTAAAAACACCAGGGAGTTCACAAATGCAACCCCCCATTAACATAAATTATGCAGTTGAGTTCCTCACACTTGGGAAAATCATAGGGAGCAGCACACCTAAAGTGCAATGGATGAGCCTTACCCTGAAAAATCCATTTTCATGACCACAGTATTTTCCCTGCAAGGTATGAGTTGGAGTGGCCCTTGCAACTCCTGCCCCCTTCTGTCCCCTATCCCCTCAAGGCATGGTGACCCTGAATATACCTCCTGCTCAGTACAGGGCTGCACAGCCCCAGTACTGCCACAGGCCACGAGAGCTCCTAAGAGTTTTGGGGTGCCCCGTGGGACCTCCATCAGGGGCTAGGTGTTCCTCCCACAATCCTCTAGTGCACATGTATTAGCATAAGGTATTAGCATATGCTAATATCTGTGCACTAAAGGATTGTGGGAGGAACACTTAGTCCCCGATGGGGGTCCCACAGGGTACCCCAAAACACTGAGGAGCTCTCATGGCCTCTGGCATGACTGGGGCTGTGCAGCCTTATACTGAGCAGGAGGTGCAGTCAGGGTCACCATGCCTTGGGGGGTCAGGGGGAGGAGGTGCAGTCAGGATCACCATGCCTTGGGGGGACAGAGCACAGAAGGGGGTAGGAAGTGCAAGGGCCACTACAACTCATACCTTGCAGGGAAAATGCCATGATCATAAAACTATTTTTTCCAGGATAAAGCTCATCCATTGCACTTTAGGTGTGCTGATCCCTGTGATTTCCCCAAATCTAGGGAACTCAATTGTATAATTTGTGTTAATGGAGGATTGTGTTTGTGATTTCCCTTGTCTTTCTAGCATCCTTTTTATCTCTTTTTTTTTCTCATCAGGGCCTATTGTAAAGGCAGCAAGCCCTGGTGATGTCTTATATTGCATTCTCCCTCTTTTTCTCCCTAGCAGTAAAGGATCAGGGTAAAAGGAGTCACTCTTATCAAGAGCCAGGTAGCTGCTTTGACTCCTTTTACCTTCTTTCTTTGCTGCTGGAGAGAGAAAGGGGGGGGGATGCTATCTGAGACCCATTGCATTTCCAAAGGCAGTGCAGGTGAGGGGAGATTTCAATGCATTTGTATGGGAGACTGTTTTGCAAGATTATGTTTTTTATGGACAATTTTCACAAGATAGTAATTTCCCCCCCCCATTGGAACGCATTAAATTTTGCAAGATGATGTTATCTATAGACAATTTTCACAAGATAGTAATCCCCCCCCATTGGAACGCATTAAATAGATTTCAATGCATTCCAATGGGGGGGGGGAATGCTGAGATCCATTGCATTTCCAAAGGCAGTGCAGGTGAGGGGAGATTTCAATGCATTCCAATGGGGAATTGTATTTCGCAAGATGGATGTTTTTGCAAGACAGCGATTTCTGCAGAATGAATTAAAATCATCTTGCAAGGCTCCACTGTAGTCAAAACAAACTTGTGCAGAGCAGCTTTTCTGGATACCTTCCCCTCATGTGTGTTGTATATTTTTAATCTGTTTCTGATAGCTGTCACAGCTGGGGAGTATTTTGGGTTATTTTCTTTTGATAATAGTTGTTGGTTGAGATTCTAGTGTTTTTGTCTCTGTAAAGCGCCCACATTATTGGCATGCTACTAGATAGGTAGGTAAACATCTAAATAAATACATATATAAATGTATGCCCCAACTATAAAGGTGACAAATGCTGAGCCACCTTCTAAAGTGAGACACAGGTTTTTTCCATGAAACAGAATCTAGCCAAAATACCTAGTGGCCAGATTTTCAAACAACTGCTCACTGCCTCCTATCTGAAGATAAGGAATTATCTGATTGTGGATTTCTTTGTCAGCATATCAGGAAGGTGGCATAATCTAAAGAATGCTCCACAGTAGTGACATGAGTATTTTTTTCTTAATATGTTACCGAAAAAATTCTGTACACTTACAGCTTCATCGAGAACCAGGAACCTGACTTGAGATAAAGTCAATTTTCCAGTTGATACAAGGTCATCCAGTCTTCCAGGAGTTCCCACAACAATATCTACCTGTAAAATGTACAGTAATTACATTATGTTTCCCAAAATAAAATGGAAGCACCCACATATTTTCATATATGGTTGTAAGAGAGAGTCTTTCCAACATCTTTAGTCTGGAGATGGTGGATCCAATATACACTTAATGAAAATAAAAGATTAATGTTGTAAGTTCTGTAAATACGCAACAGAGCCATTCACCATACATAGCACTTTATAAACCTTATTTAATGTATGTCAATTGCGAACATGTACAAACCATATGACCTATCAAGCACAGGTTGAATCACACAGGTTAATGACTTAAACATTATGTTCTCCGTTAGTATGAATTAGTATGAATAAAATGTATGTTCTCTATCAGCAATTAAATATTTATCAATCTGGCTTACAGATTTCTTATCTACTTTGATAATGCCATTTTGAATTCTTTTTAAAATATATTTTCAGACTGGAATTCTATCATTTTAAAAACTAGACATGCTGCCAGGGACATCCATGCAACGGAATGGTGGCTTATATGTAATTTATTTGCATGTTTAAGAAAAAATGCTCCTCGTATATGCAATGCAAACCAAGAACAATTTAGACTTACCCCTTGCTCTAATACAGACAGTTGCTCTCTTGCAGCAACACCACCAATAATTAGGAGTTCCCTGAAAGACGCAGAACATCAAATTAAGCTCTGTGTGGTCCCTTCGTATTATTTAGTTCAGTAAAAATAGCATGATTTTTAAAATGGAAAAATGCTAAGCTTATTGAAATCTACAAGTCCCCACCTGCTGATCTCTCCCTTCAATTGATTTTAATGTACCTTAGTTTGGGATTCTCAACATATTTTTTGAATTGTTTCACGTTGTTCAGGGTCTGCTCAGCTAACTCTCTTGAGGGTTCCACAATCAATGCTTTGGGAGCATTTGGCAGATTCTTTGTTTGTGCTACCTGGGCAGCTCCTGAAATGGGAAATGTTGAAAGGTCCTGTAGTGATGAGTTGGTTGGTAAGAAATCATTTCATATTTATTTATTGAGACAGCAAGGTCTAGAACAGTAGGCTGGGTCCAAGCTTAGCCACAAGTAAAACAGATACACTGAAACTGATCAAAACCCCTTTCAAGACTGGAGGGTGCCTTTGACATACCTGCGTGCTGGGATTTCAAAACACTGGTCTCAGGAGCTTTAGCAAGAGCAACATAACCGTCTTTAGGGGGAAACTTAAAGTCTTCTTCACCAAAATTGAACTTTAATTCTGCGTTCTAGAAGAATACATATGAGAAAAACATAGCACAAAAATAGCCAACAGGCTCTTGTACAAACACACATAATTTTTTTGTGTGTGAGTAGTAAGACAATAGGCCAGTGTGGCGTAGTGGATAGAATAACAGACTAGGATTCAGGACACCTGATTTCAAATTCCTGTTCAGTGATGGAAACTCATGGTGTTAATGTGTTTGTCTATGGGTGGGTAGAGCAGAACGAGTCCCTAAATATCACTCATACCTTGGGAGACTCTACTAGGATTGTTATTAGTCAGAAGTGACTAGCCGGCACTGAAAAACAACAGTGGGCTGACATATGGCCCATGAAATGTTTTGGAACTGCTGCACTCATTAGCCAGCTGACTTAGGCTAGTTTTGATTTTATTTCATTTATCGTAACTGCAGCCTTGAATAGTATTTGCTCAATAGAAACCAGACCATCCCTACAATTTATTACATCATGTGCTTTCAGTGAATCGGCAAATTTTTACCCCCAGATTCTGATTCATGTCCATGAAGCAAAGCAAAGGAAAAATAAAAAATAAAAAAATAAAAACCTAAGGATGATACAGATTACTTCCATGGGACCTCCCTTGCTCATTTTATAGCTCCACTATCTGACTGTTTGCATTAGCTGGTGTTGCCTGTGCCAGTCCTCACTTTGGAATACTGCTTTCTCGTATGAATGTTAAGCAGGGTTTCAGAGGTAATGTGAATGAGATTTGGCCGTTGTGGCGATCACAGCAGAGGCAGAATCATATATAATTGGCTGATTAGAAAGTCAGATCTACCTTTAGAACACAGGCTGCAAAGAGGGCTTGGTTCTTGAGGTGCGGTGGGATTTCAAATGCAAGCCCAAGTTCTTTTCCTGAATGAAAAAAAGAAGTATGCTGAATTTATATTTCTCTTATTTGCACGCTGAATTCTCTACTTAACAGAAAAGAAAGGAAGGCATCCTTACCGTTTTTGGAAAATGCGACTTGCCCTTTATCCATATCTAGATAGCATCCTATTGTGTCATGCATAGTGAATTCCTATATTAAAAAGGGAGATTTTATAACAGATCTTTGAAAATGATACTTGACAAGAATATAATGTCCTTTGTTATAGAAAAACCAGCGCCAAGAACGTACTTCCCCATAGCTATCAAACTGCTTGTTATGGGATTTCTTCCCAGTTCCACCATAGCCAAAGCCAAATTTGTCCGTGCCTGAAAGCCAAAAACATACTATTAGAGCCAAGGAAAATTTCACCAAGTTTATTGGGTTGGATCCAGACAGACACTCGAGAGACTCTGAGTTGTATGATGGGGGGAGGGGCCCCTGTTCCCTTCAACTTTTGATGGCCCCTGTTCCCTTCAACAGCTCCCTCTGACCTCCAAGACAAATGGCTGCTCCATCCTCTTATCTTGCAGGGAGCCTTTGCTCCACTAACAGAATGGAACCTTTTGTCTATAGACACATCTGGATCCAACTGCTTCCAACTATCCACTACCAATGTTCGTGAGACAAACAAAATAGATTAGGGATTTTATGCCCCAGAGGCAGTTACACTATACTGTACTAAACCACATACTGGACTGCCTAGGAGGTATCCAAGTTTCCAGCCCTCAAACCTTGAGAAAAGAGTATGCATATGTTCTTCTCCTCTGTAACTGCTGATTAGTGCTAAACTGAAACCGGGGATTTCTTTGTATGCCCCTTTCTTCCCTTCACAAAAAGTGCCCCCCTCTTCATACAATTGGGCATCAGAAGGGAGAGAAGCCACACATTCCTGACAAAACAGGCCTACAATATTTCACCTAATCCAGTCAGGTGCATGTAGGGATCCATCTCCTGCAACCACTAGCCATGAAGAACAGAATCAAGGCAATATGGCTTGACACAGCATATGGCTTGGCAACACATTTCCCAATTAGGAGTGGGGACAGCATATAGGTTTTGTTTAACTTGACACCAGGTAGTTGAATTGGATTGGTTACATTCTGATGTGATGTCATCACATTTATTATAGATCCACAACTGTCTGGGGTCATGAGTACACAAAAGTAAACACTCTGCATGTCACTGAAGCCATACAGACCTAGGTTAAAAATGTGTGAGATCCCAAAAGGCATTTGCACCTTTCATGGAAGCGTTATTGTTGTTGCTTCAAGATGCGTTTAGTGTGCTTCATAGGAAAAAAAGCCAGAAGGTGACATTTTAAATTGACATCTTTCTGTTGGCAATGTAACTCCTCTACCCTTACACTGTCAGGCTATGTAGTTCCTGAGGAGCTCTCAAGGCTACTAGACCACCATCTGGATTTCAATTCAGACTTGCAGATACATACTCACCCAAATCTAATGAAGCCTGCATGGAAGACCATCCAATTCGGCATAATCCTTGGTCATGACAAGATACTTCATAATAATATTTTCCTGAAACATTTAAAGAAAGTGTATTTGCAACTAGCTTCTGACTGAATATCTTGTGGTCAAGACAAGAAGATAACTTTAACGTCAAAGTGATACTGAGCAAGGTGGTGATACTGCTGGCATCAGGATCTACAGAAAGGGAAGTACCCCATCACACTGCACACTGGAAAGAAGCCTTCATGGATCTGGCCATGAAAGGGAGCATTCAAAAGAGGAAGGCCAGCTAAATTGGTGTCATCTTCTATGCCCCCATTTATTCCCCTCCCCTCCTCATCTATTACGTGTTTGTCCTTTCTGTTCTTTTAAGTGTACACAATTTCCTTGGTGTAAACATAGTCCTAGATGTATGCACTAAGTTATCAACAAGGGTGGAGGATTGAAATGCTGAGGAAGAAGGGCTGGGCTGAGATGAAAGACAAGAATGGCTCTTATTGCAGCTTTAATAAACCAGCAAGGACTTTACATTAAAAAACCCAAATGATACTGGTCATCCTGCAAAAGGCTTGTTTGCTTAAACTTCTACACATTCTTCTGAAAGCAGATAATAAAGTATTTTCTCCAGTCATTCCAATTTCAAAAGCTAAGTAACATTGCAGCGGTGCCTCGCAAGACGATTGCCTTGCAGGATGATTAATCCACAAGACGATGGGTTTTTGTGATTGCTGTGGCACTTTGCAAGATGATGTTTTCTATGGAGGGTTTTCACAAGACAGTATTTTGGTCTATGCTTTGCAAGATGGGCTTTTTTTTAGACCAATGCTTTGCAAGACAGCTTCCCCCCCTCCCCCTGAAACACATTAACTACATAAGACCTACTTTTTTATCCAAAAAAAAGAGGGGGAGAAAGTATATGCTACTGGCTTTCCAGCATCTGCCTCCTAGAAAGCCAACAGCATACACTTTCTCCGCCACTTTTTTGGGATAAAAGAGGAGGTCTCATATAATTAATGTGTTCCAATGGGAGAAAAAAACCATCTTGCAAAACATCACCAATGGAACTATAGTTGCAAATTTAAATGATACAGGATGGTGAAAATAGCCAGAAACCGAAGGATAAAGAGATTCTTAAAACACCAGGGAAATAACAAATGTAATCCCCAATTAACACAAATTATGCAGTTGAGTTCCCCACATTTGGGGAAATCACAGGGATCAGCACACCGGAAATGCAATGGATGAACCTTACCCGAGAAAAACCACTTTCATGACCATGGTATTTCCACTGCAAGGTATGAGTTAGAATGGCCCTTGCATCTCTTACCCCCTTCTGTGCCCTGTCCCCCCAAGGCATGGTGACCCTGAATATACCTCCTGCTCAGTACAGAGCTGCACAGCCCCAGTCCTGCCAATACCTGTGCACTAAAAGATTGTGGAACAGCTAGCCCCTGATGGGGTCCCATGGGGCACCCCAAAACACTGAGGAGCTCTCTTGGCCTCTGGTGGGACTGGGGCCATGCAGCCCTGTTCTGAGCGGGAGATGCAGCCAGGGGGTCACCATGACTTGGGGGGGGGCAGGGCACAGAAGGCGGTAGGAGGCGCAAGGGCCGCTCCAACTCATACCTTGTAGGGGAAATACCCAAGGGCACAGAAGGTGGTAGGAGGCGCAAGGGCCACTCCAACTCATACCATGCAGGGGAAATACCATGGTCATGAAAGTGGCTTTGCCAGGGTAAAGCTCATCCATTGCACTTCAGGTGTGCTGAGCCCTATGATTTTCCCAAACATGGGGAACTCAACTGCATAATTTGTGTTAATGGGGGATTGCATTTGTGTTTTCCCTGGTCTTTCTAGAATCCTTTTCATCCCTTTTTTTCTCATCAGGACCAATTACAAAGGCAGTAAGTCCTGGTGGTGTCTTGTATTGCATTCTCCCTCTTTCTCTCCCCAGTGGTAAAGGATCAGGGCAAAAGGAGTCACCATTATCAAGAGCCAGGGGGCTCCCTTGACTCTTTTCATCCTCTTTCTTTGCTGCTGGAGAGAGAAAGAGGGGGAAGGCCATCTGACACCCATTCCATTTCCAAAGGTAGTGTAGGCAAGGGGATTGCTTTTCCCCAATATAGTAGATTTCAATGCATTTGTATGGGAAACTGTGTTTTGCAAGATGATGTTTTTCTTCTATGGACAATTTCCCCCCCAATGGAACACATTAAATAGTGTATTCCAATGGGGAATTGGGTTTCGCAAGACAGTGATTTCTGTGGAACAAATTAAAATTGTCTTGCGAGGAACCACTGTATAAGCATGCAGACATGGTGGTTTCTTCAAACCTTTGGTCACGCCTCTAGTGGATCGGCAGCCATGCCATTCTTTTACTTCCCTGCTTTGGCAGCAAAGGCCGTCTGATCCAATAGCTAAACAGGAAGGAGAATAAGAAAACAAGAATTAAATCCATGAAGATAACTTCTACAAAATAAAACATTTACAGATGATAGCAAGTTTCCCTAAAATAGTTATGCATGTTCCTTGGGCAGAGAATGCAACGAAACATCAAATGTTTGATTATACATTTCTAGTCATCAGCAATTAAATATTATGCTACCGGCCAATATCCTTTTGGGTGGGCCAACACTTCAACAGGAATAATATCGTCAATGGCATACTGTGACTGATTAAAAACTTCCTTTTCTGATTTTGAGGTGTACACAAGGATTCTCATTCCATCTAAGTTGTGTGCACCCACTCAATAAATAACCAAAAACAAGCAGTCTTCAATCAGTGGTAATTTACCATTGATGATGGCATCATTCCTACTATGCAACAGGATATTGGAGATTTTTAACTTTCCTTTTATATGCTGCATATAAAGGAAACAAATGTCTAGCTTCCATTCTGTTATACTTACATGTACTGCTGAAATTTAAAATCAAATACAAGTACTCAAGTTTCCTCAACAGGATAAAGTTGGTTGTATTTATATACCACTTCTCCTCCTTTGAGATGTCCTGATAATCTCCCATTCAGGCCCAGAACAGCTATAGTGATGAACTAGACACAGTTTGGCTATGATTTTCACATTCTCAATCACCTAGCTGCTGTTTGGTGATCCCTTGAATGAACTGGATACAACACTTACCAAATGCAGATCCTCTGTCATATGGATTCATTTGCCATTTGTTGAGCACTGTTGTAAAGGAAAACAGTTATACTTGTTTTACTACCAGAGATCACTGTAGCTTTTTATAAATTTGATTGGCCAATTAATATGCAAAATGACAACTTCATTCAAATGACGATTTGATGCTTGAACTCAATTGCCAGCACATCGACAAATTCAAAACCCCTAATTTAAAGAAAGCCCTGATGTCCAATTACATTTTCCGACTATGGAAATCGGTCGTATGACTCTTTTCACTCGAGAAGAGCTAGACATCAAGTATCTATTCATTCAAAAACAGCAGTGTGTCTGATACAGAATATGCTAGTTTAGTTTTACATGCTACATCTTAAATTCTTTGTACAACATAAGACTTGCTGTATAATTCTAAATATACACACTTTGTATTTCTCTTACCTAAAGTGTGAATATCATTTACAGTTACAATGATACAGAATTCCAGTGCAGTTCAATTATGGACAACTGGCAACAGAAATATTCTGTATTCTTACAACACTTCAAGCATTGCTAACATGGCTACAAAGATGCATGTGACCAGTTTTTACATTTCAAATATTTCTGGGTATTTTTCAAACATTAAAACATGCCAACAACCACATTTTTAAATCCCATTTCAAGATTCTGTCTGAACACAATATGTGAGCTAAACCTATAAGGACGGGGAGTATGATGGCATTTTCCCTTTTTTAGGGTCTTCTCTCAATCTGCTCCTACAGAGAACAACTTTGTGAAGAAAAAAGCCTCCCCCCCTTTTGATGTTCCTTCCCCTGCGACTTGGAGATTTAAAATTATGGGGTGACTCTCCACATATAAAGATTCCCTGCTTCATAAAAATGACACTGAAAGTTTTTCATGTGAATGGTCAAAGTAGGGTATACTTCTCCACACAATGACTCTTTAAAGGGAATTTGGGACTCTTAACTCTAACAAAATTCTTTCTCATCCTGAGCATCCACATTATGTTAAAATGCTGGGTTGGATCCAACCATTACTGTTCACGAACACAACCCATTCAGCTTTTTCAAATCCTAAAGGCTGAATTTTTCAAGGACTTGAGAGAACTCAAGGGGTAAGTGGCAAACATTTCCCTGTTTCTGTCAGTAGGGGCATAACCTGGGTAAATCCCTTCACCCAAAACAATGTTTGCTAGCTTGAAAGCCTTCCTATGCCATGTCACTTAGGACACACTGCCAACCTTTGTAAAGCAAGCACTGGCTGGCAGCATCTGCAGCAGATGGGGCCACTCATTTATATCAAAGCAAGACCTTCCTTTAAATGACTTGTAGTGATATGCTGTTGATTTTAGAGGCGATTTGCCAGAACACAGTTAAAGACACCCCCCAAAAAAAAGAGAAGGGAGGGGGAGTTTGGTTTAAATGGAGGACTTTCCTTAAATTGGGGAAGGCAAGGAAATTGGGGCCCAGATCCATCAAAGTTGTCACTTCTAGTTTACACATTAGGGCTCTAATTTTTCAGTACTATAATTCCAGCTGGAAATTAATTCCACAAGCTTCAACAGAATTTTCACAGAGGAATACCTAATACAGTACCTGTTCTATTCATGACTAAGATTTACTATTGACTAGCAGTAACGGAAGACTCCCTGGAAAAGACCCTGATGTTGGGAAAGTGTGAAGGCAACAGGAGAAGGGGACGACAGAGGATGAGATGGTTGGACAGGGTCATTGAAGCTACCAACATGAATTTGACCAAACTCCGGGAGGCAGTGGAAGATAGGAGGGCCTGGTATGCTCTGGTCCATAGGGTCACGAAGAGTCAGACACGACTTAACGACTAAGCAACAACAAGCAGTAACACATGCTGACAAGTTTAGGAGGTTGATTAGCACCAGAAGCCAAAACATATTGGCCTAACATACTAAGCAACCTACCTATGGAAGTTTTTAAAAGGAGAAATTAGGTGATATGTGGAAACATGATACTACACACAATTCTTATACACAGCCTGAGAAGATTTGCCATTCAAAGTGGCTTATGAATTTTTAAATCAATCAATACACATCTGTGAGTTATTTACTCAACCTGCAGATCATGACCCCTCATTCAGGGCTATTGATACACTCCACTACTATACGCTCTCCAAAAATTAAGTAATTACAATCCTGATGCGCATCCTTAGAGTCCAAGTAGAATACCTCCCCCCCTTCCCCATGATTTAATTCTCAAAGTATCTTATAGATACTGGGTGCCTTGACCGTATAAACTATATATTGCATTTATGCAGTTTACGTAAACTTCAGTTTATGTTTCAGATTTTGTATAGGTAATAATTTTGTACAGAATATTAATATTAACACCTCTACAGAGAAAGGTTTACCTCCTCCACCAGTTTTTATAGTTGTTTTTCCTTTTTTCCCTTCCTGCTGGTCCTTCAGAGTTTCATACACAATCTGAATAACTGGGATGCTGAATGCCTGAAATACAGCACAAAGTTACAAGTTCTAAACTAGTAATATTCTTCTAGTCTTCAGTTATGTTTGCAGTCAAATTGTATGAAAAATAATTTTCTAATATGCAACAATGGCATTACACCAGTTTTCACTTACACCAGTTTTCCCACTCCCAGTCTCTGCTGCCTGTGTAGAAAAGAAATATAATTAAAAAATTAAAGTTATGTTGCCTATTTGTTAATTGCTAGAAAAACGTTCAAGATATAGTAGATCACTGATATATTAACTATCCAAATGCATTCACTACTGTAAAGGCATTAACTGTGCAGTCTCTTCTGTATGAACAAGTCAGAAGACAAAACATAAATTAAGTAAACTAGCAAACAGTAGTTCAAGCATTTTAGTGCAGAAATGGAAGTAAAAATGCCCCATTTGAAAAGAATAATTTCAAAAATGATTTTCTTATTGTTTTTATAACAATCTCCATACACAAGACACAATATCTTCCTTCAAATAACTCCTATAAATTTAGAGCTTGGTGAGTTTTAAGTTAAATTCTACATAGAACTACAAAAGAACATCTACTAATGTGCAAGGTAACACTGGCACCACAGACTGGCACAAAATTTTAATATGAGACAGAAAACAACTGCAAAGTGGTTTATAATATTTTATCAGTGTGATCCTATACAAAAGCCAAAATCCTGTTCATGCAGATCCACACATACAAGACTGGTGGCATCATCAGCCACAGACTTTGATTTTTAAATAAAAGGTTCCTATCCCATTTCCTTTAGCTTCTGAGGCTCCCCAGGGATCTCAAGGAAGTTTTTGGGGACTGAATTGCAGGGGAAGAGAACCTTTGAAGCCTGAAAATTCCTGCTGCCAGATGTTGACTATTTCTTTTCTACTTTTTCGGACCTTAAAGGCTCCCACCTTATCCCACCCCCTCCAAAGGGATCTCTAAGAAGTGTCAGAATGGGGGGGGGAGATAAGAAACTTAATTAATTAATGATAAAAGGCCACAGCTGATGTCTTCCTTAACTTTGCACACCCAGAGCTGCGTCAACAGGAGTCCTGGCAATGTGAGGCACATGACCACCTAAATCTGCCTAATACTGGGCAGGAAAATATTTAGATAAAATTATGTAATTTATACTATAATACCAAGCACAATAAATCTGTCTAGTAAAACCCTGTTCATTTTGGATGAGACAAAAGAAGAGTAACAATGTCTTCCTTAACTTTGCACACCCAGAGCTGCGTCAACAGGAGTCCTGGCAATGTGAGGCACATGACCACCTAAATCTGCCTAATACTGGGCAGGAAAATATTTAGATAAAATTATGTAATTTATACTATAATACCAAGCACAATAAATCTGTCTAGTAAAACCCTGTTCATTTTGGATGAGACAAAAGAAGAGTAACACATACCATTAGGACATCGCCTCCTCCCAGAATCAATGGAATAGACTCTGCCTGGATATCTGTGGGGAGACTACAAGAAAAATATAATGTGCCTCTAACATTCAAAGATTTCATTTTTTAGGTTCCTGAAATAAAGGAGATGGTAGTGACGAATCTGGTTTCTGGTCACACTACGGAATTACACAGAGCTTGGACTTCTCTCTTGAGAACTAAGAGCAGAATTGCACACGCATATTACAGCACGCCCCGGGCCAATCCTGTATGTTGGGTGACTGACAACATTCATCCACCACTAGCATGGAACCAATACTTTGGTAAGCACTTTCCATTGAAATGCAGCAAAATTGTCACCTGTAGTGTTATTGTTAGTGAAAAAATCATTGTTCATCCATCTGAAAAGGTACAAATAGAAATAATCACACTTACAGCCAGTCCATCTCTTCCACAGCTTGAGCAATCTCTGGCATAACACCCATCTCTGCAAACAAAACACAAAGTATTAACAAAAAGAAAAAAAATCAAGCAAACACTTTCAATGTACTTATTATGAAGTAAAATAACTAATTTGCAAGAAGTAGCTTACCCTTATTAACACACAAACATAATATGCAACAATGCTTGGTTGTGCACAAATCATTCAAATTTGCAGAACACATTAGATTGACAAAGCATTCTGAACATTACCAATCTCGCCAGATTTCAGAAAGTAAGCCAGACTGGGTGTAGTCAGTAGTTGGAAGAGGAGACTGCATGGAAATACTGGGAAGGCTGATGTGAGGTTAGGAACAAATCCTGCCCACAATGCTGGAAAGCTCCTGCCAGTCTATCTTGACAATACTGGGCTAGCTAGACCAATGGTTTGCCTCAGTATAAGGCAGCTTCTTGAGTTCCTATGATGATTTGCTTCTTTGATGTTCATATCTGTTACAGTTCTATCAAAGTTCCTTCCAGATTACTCTAGGTCATTAATCACATATAACACATTGCCCTTTTGTGAGTATTTCTTTTTCACAAAAACCCATGAATGAACATTGTGTCCCCAAGCTTTGTTTGGTGAGTGAAACAAAAGTTTTTGCTGTCACGCAAAGCCTCTAGATTGAAGCAAGCAAATTTCTTACGTTTCTGATCTAAATTTCCTAGACACAGAGTCCAGAGTGTAGCTGCTGCTGTAAAGAAGGCCCTTTCCCACACATCTTTCAAGCCTCTACACATGACCTGGTTTATTGATTGATTGATTGTATTTATACCCCGCCTATCTAGTCATTTCGACCACTCTAGGCGGCTTACAACATAAAGGATAACAAGTTCAAGAAAAATTTATAACAATTAATTAATTAAATGATTCTGCAAGATGGGAAAAATGCAAAATAAATCAAATAAAGAGAAAAAGAATAAAAAAATGAAATAAGACAGGAATTAACTGGAAGGGAAGGCCTGCCTATACATCCACGTTTTTAGTTGGTTCTTAAAAGTACCAGGCGAAGGTGAAGTGCGCATCTCTGGAGGTAGGTTATTAGGGAAACCTGCCCTCAAGGAAAGACCCATTTATTATTGCAGTGGCCCATTTTGTTGTTATCGGCCTGGCTGCTTTGATTAGCCAGGCTGGGCAAGGGTCCAAGGAGGAGGTGGTGGCTCGGCAGCTTTCAAGCACTCTGGCCACAGAATCAGGCGTGACAGGCTGAAAGAAGTCAAGGGTTACCAGGCAAGACGGAGCGCTGGACAGGTCCCGAATGGCCTCCACTTTAGATTTTAAAAAGGCTGCAAACTGGTCAGGTGAAAAACTAGGGGGAGGCCTATCACCCAGACCAGTTCCGGATAGGTCGCGCACTATATGGAATAACTCCGCCTGCTGGTTGGACGCTTTGCTTATCCGGTTAGCGAAGTAAGTTTGACAAGCAGCCCTTACCTTAGACAGGTAAAGGTTAGTTGCAACCCTGACAGCTATCCTATTATAATCCGTCGGGTTCTTCCTCCACCTACGCTCTAGCCTTCTCCTATGTCGCTTTAGTGCTCAAAGCTCCTGGTTAAACCAGGGCACTGGACGAGCTCTACGACGGAGAGGGCATTTAGGTGTGATCGTGTCTATAGCCCTGGTTGCGAAGGTGGGCCAGGAGTGCTAGTCAGGTCCGCTGTGACCCCTCTCATGACATCCTGGAATCCAGCCAGATCCAGTAGCCCTCGAGGGTGGGCCATAGAAATAGGTCCCTGCTCCCTGTTTACCAGGCAGGACGTGCCATTCTGAACCCAAAAGACTGAAAATGACCACCATTTTAAAAAATTAGTTTGGAAATTGAACAGCTCAAATTGGTATGGCATAGACATGTAATCTGAAAAAGTAGCTCTAGTGAAAACACTAGTGATAGTTTCTGAACACTTTTCAAAGCTATTACCAAGGTACCGGTGACTGTGGTTAGATATTTTTTAAGAAACTGCCAAAGTTGACACACCAAAGTTGTGCACAAGCCCTCTTGGCCAAAGTTGTCAACTAACTCTATGAAACCAAAGTGGATCCCAGAACCTTGCCAAACTGCAAATCAAAATTTTTAAGAAATGTACACATCTATCCAAATCAGACAATACTCCTATTCTTAGGCCAGATGTTTAACTAATTGCTTACTTTGTCTTAATTAAGTTTCAACTTGCTCCATGGGAAAGTTATTCTCCCTTAGACTATCCTATTCCAAATCAAAGTGGTGATAGATCACAACTTTTGCAAGAGGTGTGTAACTATAACGGAGCTGAGCACATGACTGCTCAGCTCACCAGCAGAATTAATTACAGGAAGATATATTTTTAAAAAACCCTTCTATTTATCTGCTCCAGCCCTTCACCCAACTAAGAGTACTTATTAACCAAGATTCTTTAAGGCACTAATTTATTTAGGCAGTTACATTTAAAAAATAAATAAGGTTTTTGTTGTTTAACAAGAGATACTTAAATGTCTCTTTCAGGGCCAATATGTCCTGTAACCAAACAGGTCGCCTTTCCATCTTACAGTATGTGATAACTTTTGTATTAATTAATTATAACCTGTTCTACACTTCCTTTTCTTTCTCCCAAAAAATCAAATATATTTTTAAAAATGCACAACTTTATGTGCAGCCCAAGCTGAAATGTCTACTAGATTAGGCATCCTTCAGTCTCTTTTTTTATAATTTATTTTTTACAAAGGGTAGAAAGAAAGAAAAAGGGATTGAGGTTAAGGGGAAGAGGAGAAACAATGCCATACTAACATCCATTCTATACATATTGCCATATCAAAATTCCAAATTCCTCTTTTTACTATTTTCTGCCTTCCAGATTTAAGTTGTCATTTTAATGCATGTTCTTCAAACGATGTCTGATGACTCAAACCATTTGTAGAATAAGTCCCATCTTTCAGTTGCCTTTTGTAAAGGACAGTCCTTCATGACTTCTGATAAAATGTCCATTTCCGCTGTTTCCCGTATCTTCTCTATAAGATCTTCTTCTTTCAGTACCATCAGACTTTTCCAGTTTTTGGCATAAAGAATTCTAGCTGCAGTGACTATGTATATAACTATATACTTTGCCTAGGCATCCTTCAGTCTCGAGAGACTATGGTAATGTGCTCTAAATAAAGGACTTGGAACAGCATCTAGTGCGGCTAAGAAGGCCAATTTGAGAGTGGCAATCCCTCCACACTGAAGACAAATACAATCTGTCCCCTGTACAGCTCCCTGATTTGGCTGGTTTCAGGACTGCCTCTTTGGCCTGCTGTACAAGGGTCTCTTCAAATTGGGAGTGGCCATGATACACCACCTGCCTCCAGGCTGAACGTTCAGATGTCAAGTTTTCCCATCTGTTGAGTTCTATTCCTAAAGCCTTCAGATCTTGCTTGCAGATATCCTTGTATTGCAGCTGTCGGCTCCCTCTGGGGTGATTTCCCTGCAATAATTCTCCATCCATAATATAGAAATGTCTATATTATCAGAAGCCTAAGCAGTTTGGTTCCAGGCTACCAGAAGGACCCTATCTCCCCATATGACCCTTCTCAGCACTTAAGATCATTAGGAGAGGCTTTTCTGTTGGTCTTGCCAACTTAACAGGTACTCTATGGCTGCTTCCAGACTCTGGAACTCCCTCCCACTGGAGGCCAGGCTGGCCCCATCTTTGGTGTCTCTCTGCAGGCAGGCAAAGACCTTTCTCTTCAGACAAGCTTCCCCTTAGTTACTGGCTGTCTGAGTGGGGTTTTGAAACGGATTGCTGCACTTTACTGTTTTGAATGTGTTTTGATGTTGACTTTGTTTACCTTTTTTTTAAAGGCTGGTCTGCATTTGATCCTTCCAATATTATATTCTTGATGTTGTTAACTTTAGATACTGTCTTTTAATGCTTTAAACCACCTTTGGTCCTTTTTAAAGGAGAAAGGCAGGGAAAATAATTCATACAAATTAAATAAATTAAGGAGAAAGTTGGAGATAAAATATTTTAAATAAACAAATACACACACCAGGAGTACTTTCCGAAACTGTCTGTTCACTATGCTTCAGGCCCTGCCGTAACGCTCAATAGATGTTATGTATTTTCAAGTTAGCTCTCCCTCAGTAAGTGGCTATCTGAGTGGGGTTTTTAATAGGACTGTTGTGCTCTGTTGTTTTAAATGTCTTATAATTACTTTTATTGACTGTTTTTAACATACTTGTTTAATTCCTTTTCTAAATGCATATATACCCACTGTCTGTAGTTTTTAAATATTGTCTTTTGATTCTTGTAAAGCTGCCTTGGGTTCTTTTAAGGAGAATGTTTTAAATCAGTCAACCAACCAATCCAGCCATGCTGAAAATGCTTATATAAATATATTTTACCCCGCCTTTCTCCTCGAAAAGGGACGCAGGCGGCTGACAGAAATTAAAAGGCCACATTTAGCCTATCAGGGGAAAAGGGGGAAAGGCTCCCCTCCTCTCACAATTCTTTGGGGCCCGAAGCGGGTTCACCAGGCGAAGCCTCTCCTTCTTCGTCTGCTGCACGCGGCCTCCCTTCGAGGCCCTCCAACCCCTGGTGGGGCGCCTCGACTCTCCGAATCCCTCCCTCATGAAGCCAAACACGGAGGCGCCGCTGCCCTCCCTCCAGCTTCTCCAGGAGAGGATTGCAACCTGAAAAAGCCGCCATGTTGCCCCCGCGGACTCGACCGGCAGAGCTGTCCCCGCTCCGCGTCAAGGCGCCTGCGCACTCCCGGGTGCCTCCGCTTTCGCCTTCCCCCCTTCACCAGCGCCCGGCCACCCAAGGTTCCGCTGGAGCCAGTTGTGGAGGGAGGCGACTCGCGGTTGCAGAGACTCTGGGACGAAGAGAAGAGCATCTCAGGGAAATGTTCCCTTGCAGGGCTTTCTGCTCTAGCCAGCCGTCCCCCAACTGAGAGCATGTTCATTATTAACCAAGGTGCTTTGCACATGCTTAAAGGCACGAATGGATCTGGACAGTTATCCTGTTTTTAGGGAATGTGTCTTCTATGATGTCTTCTTTGAATTTCTTTATTTTTCCTTTTTATTATTATTATTATTATTAAAAACATGTCTACCCCACCTTTCTCCTTAAAAAACGACCCAAAGTGGCTTTGATCTGGCTTGCTAGCTGCCCAGAGTACAGTAGCTTTTGCCACTAGCTGAGGAGTGGGGGATAAAAGTGTAAATTAAATTAAATATTAATTTACATTTTACAATTTCAGTTGAAAGTCACATGAACTATCTGCCTCACCACCCGGCTCATTGTCAGACATTTGATTCGTTTCCATAGTGGCTGCAAGAAATGGAGTCCAATCTTTGGGTCATTCCGACTCTTGGCTTGCAATGATCATTTTCCTAACCAGAGTTTGGAAAATTTCCTTTGCTGGCAGCGCAGCTCTCGGCAGAGCAGAGGCAGCAGGGACGCCAGTTCACTCTTAAGGGCTATGCTCTGAGAAATGTTTCCAGTCTCTTCTTAGAATTCTAGTTTTAGTACTTGTCTACTATTAATTGTTGGCTAATTGGCTGAAGTTTTATTTATTTGCAGTCCAAACCTATATGTGTGTGCTTACTTGAAAACAGGCCCTATTCAGTTTGGTGGGACTTAAAAAGTAAGGCTGCATACAACCTGATTCTAGGCATGGAAAAATCCTATAGAGTTCAAGTGGTTAGGGTTAGTAAGTGCACCCAAACAAATATTTTAGGATTTCCATTTTAGAACTGCACTTCTATATCCATTTACTAAGGAATAACAATCCCTTATTGGTCTCAATGGGAATTTAGAATTGCACTGTTACTCAGGCAAAGAGACTGGTAAATACGAGATTGATTACATGACCTGTTCGTTCAGAAATTAGTAGAGATGATAAGTAAACACGCAGGATGAGTTTCATACAGCTGTCTTCAAGGGAAAAGGAAATACAGCAGTACTAGTTTTACGTACGTAATTGTAGTTTGGCCCAATGCATTTTACTGGAACATTAGCCCTACAAAACATTATCCCATGGCACCTCAAATCGAGTCCCTTCAATTTATTCCATTTGTTGCACTTTTAAACCAGTTGTATGTGCAATCAGTTAAAAATGCAAGCAATGAATAAAGATAGGACAATTAAACCAAGAGTTGATTTTCTTAAGAAACTATAGAAAGAAAGAAAAAAGAGGATTGCATTAATAGTAGTACAGCAGTAATATAACTGCACAAACTAATTACAAAATTACACCTGATGGAGTGGCAAAATTGGTGCATTGGTTATTATGCAAAAAAATATAACTTGCCGGCCTCTAAAAACCCGTGGGAACATCAGGTAGAGAAGGTGTCAGAAAATGAGGAAGTCTAGATCTTGTGGGATTTCCGATCCAAACTGATAACACACCTTACACCAGACAGTAGTGATAAAACGAAGAAATGTCTACTCTGGATCATTGACATTGCAATTCCAGGAGATGCCAGAGCTGAAAGTAAAGAACTGGGGAAAACAGAGACCTGGCAATTGAAACATTTCGCCTCTGGAAGAAACACACTTCAGTGGTTCCTGTAGTCATTGGGGCTTTGGGAACAATATCAAGAAACTTCACACAGTACTATAAGCAGTACTAAAACCACACCATCAGAGCTACAAAAGACCGGTAATACGAGGAACAGCATACATACTGCGCCGATATTTAACAGATACTTAGGTTTTCGGTTAAAACTTGCATCTGTTACATAGTACCAGTCAATTTTTTTTTTTTAAAAAAACAGTTTTTATTGACTTGTGCCTGGTGCTTTTGTGTAACGAGGATATGCATAAGCGCAGGCATAGCCCTGTGGTGGCGGCGGCGGTGCCCGATCCTCCGGCGCCCGTCTCTTGAGGCCGAAGCCCACCGGGTGAGGAGGAGGCGGCGGCGGAGGCTTGCTGCGGGCGACCCGGGACGGCCGCCCGCCCCCTTTGGCGCGCCTCTTTCGGGCCCGCCTTGCTCGGGCCCGGCTTCTCGTTCCCTTGGCGGAGTTTGTCCTCTGCGGGCTGCCGTAGCAGCTGTGTAGCCGCTCCGTCCGCGGCCAGTATCATGGCTGCTGCCCCGGGAAGGCGGCGGGAGAGCCGCGGGCTGGGAGAGGAGGAGGAGGAGGAGGAGGAAGAAGAAGAGGAGAACATCCTTTACGACCTGCTGATCCAGATCGAGTGGCCGCCGGAGCCGGAGGTGCAGGTGAGGCGGGCTTCCCCCCCCCCTTCCCGGCAGAGCAGCCGCCGCCGCCGCCTCCGGGCAGGAGGGACAGCGTTGGGAAGCAAAGCCCGCCACGTAGGGCGGAGGTCGTGGGGAAGAGGACGCGTGTCGCCGGACA